ACCACCTCTTTCTAGCTCCAAACATATCCATGACTCCAAAGGAAAACCCCTTATCCATTAAGCAGTTTCTCCCCACTCTCCTCCACACCCCAGCCCTGCAACCAGCAATCTGTGTTCTATCTCTTTGGATTTATCTATTTTGGATATTTCGTATAAATGGGATCATTCAGTATGTCACCTTTTATGTAGGGCTTCTTTTCACTTAGCAAAATGTTCTCAAGTTTCATCCAAGTGGTAGCATGTATCATTCCTTCGTTCCGTCTTATGACTTAATTAGATTCCACTGTATGAGTATACTATAATTTGTTTATCTGTTAATCCATTGATGGCCATTTGGGCTGTTCCCACCTTATGGTTATTATGAACAGTGCTGCTATGAGCACGGGTGTACATGTACATGTTTAAGTACCTGTTTTTAATTATTTTGGGTATATATATAGGAGTAGAATTATGGAGTCTTATGGCAATTCTATGTTTAACTTTTTGAGGAACAGCCAAACTGTTTTCTACGGTGGCTGAACCATTTTACATTACTGCCAGCAATGTACAAGGGTTCCAGTTTCTCCACATCCTTGTCAATAGTTGTTATTTTACATTTTTAACAAATTATGGCTATCCTAGTGGTTTTGAAGTGGTACCTCATTGTGGCTTTGATTTGCATTTCCCTAATGCTAATGAATTTGGGTGTCTTTTCATGTGCTTTTTGACCATTTGCATATCTTCTTTAAAGAATGTCTTTTCAAATCCTTTGCCTGTTTTCAATTGGGTTGTTTGTTTTTTGTGGTTGAGTTGTAAGTGTTCTTTATATATTCTGAATGCTAGACCCCATTGGATATATGATTTGCAGATATTTTCTCCTATATATTGCCTTTTCACTTTCTTGAAATGTCCTTTTATGCACAAAAATTTTAAATTTTGATGAAGTCCAGTTTATCTATTTTTTCTATTGTTGCTCCTGCTTTTGGTTTCATATCTATGAATCCATTGCCAAATCCATGATCGTGAAGATTTACCCATGTTTTCTTCTATGAGTTTTATGGTTTTAGCTCTTAGATAGAAGTCATTGATCCGTTTTTAGTTAATTTTTAGTTAACTTTTGTATACGGTGTGAGGTAGAAGTCTGACTTTATTCTACTTTTTATAACTGCTGTAAAAACTATGCACTTAATTCATGACTTCTTTGAAATGTGTTGTTAGAGGCTGGATGGCAGGTTTTGCAGAACCCTGAATCCTAGTGGTTTGTAACAGCACAATGATTTCTCATTCATGCTGCACTACTCTCTCAGATCTCTCGGGGACTTTGGTTCATGGTATCTTTACTCAGGGATGAAAGCTGATAAGGGTCACTGTGGACCTTTCGTGCTCAAGCTCTCTAAGGCCTCTACTTTGACATAATTCCATTGACCGAACGAAGCAAGTCACTTAGCCACGTCGAGCTTGAAGAGAGAAGTGTAATCCTACCAGCTGCCCAGAAGGAGAAGAAAAGAAAGTAAGTAGTGCACAGTCACTACAAGAGAACAGGATTGAACATGTGTTTGCAACATATTCGAAATATTTGTTCCAAGATACACAATTTTAAAACATTCCCATTTAAGGGGGTTCAAAGTTCTCCGTAAAAGGACATGGTAAAGCATCATTGATTCAAAATTTGAGGTAAATTTTATACTAACTGTGCTTGCTGAAGTTTACCTTTACATTATTTGTAAAGAAAAAATTGTTCAGTTAAGTGATAGTATGAGATTTAATGAAGAGAATTTTGTCTTAATTTATAAAACAATTTTTAAGTAGTTTAGTAGGAAGTATTCATACTCAAGGAATTTGGGTACAGGTTGTTTATTAAAACTTTTTTATGTCAAAATTGTGAAAAAGAAGGAAATATTAGTAATAACAGTTTTGCAAGGCACTTTAAGGTTATTACTTTTTTTTTTTTTTTTTGCGGTACGCAGGCCTCTCACTGTTGTGGCCTCTCCTGTTGCGGAGCACAGGCTCCGGACGCGCAGGCTCAGTGGCCATGGCTCACGGGCCCAGCCACTCCACGGCATGTGGGATCTTCCCGGACCGGGGCACGAACCCGTGTCCCCTGCATCAGCAGGCGGACTCTCAACCACTGCACCATCAGGGAAGCCCTAAGGTTATTACTTTTGTCTATCAGGATTTTAAAATTTAAAAACATTTTAAAACTTAATAGACTAAATCCTATAAATCAAGATAAACTAGTTTGTGTGGCATCTGTAATCCAGCATTAGAGCTTAGTTACCCGCAGAGTAACAAAAATGTTGATGTTAACATATAGTTGTCCAGTCTCTTACCCACTTTTCATAAACTATGGAAATAGAAAAATTAAAATGTATAATATTTCTCTTATTCAGTTACATTGCTAAAATGTGCCACTAGATAGCAGAGAATGTATTATAGAACACCAGTAGGTGTCAGCCACAGCCTTTGCAGCAGGCTGATTATTTACCAGGCTTTTGGGGTTTTTTAAAACCCAGTATTCTGATGAACTGCAATTTTCTCAAGGTTGGTGTGCTTATTTTTAAATTAAAACTCAGGGTACTTACTAATAAAGACATAGTGATGCACTAATGGCAGCAGGAACATTATTCAGTGCTTAATTGTGTGTGTAGCTAAATAGCTCAAAGAGGTAACTAGTTTGTCATGGAAAAATTGCGATACTGTCTGATGGAGACAAGTAGGTATCTGGAAAGAATGACCATGGGTCCTTTAGTTAGCCAGATATGATACTGATATTGTAGCAGATCAAACTAGATGAGGGTCTAATACCACTTCTTTTCTGGACAAGCCTTTCCTTTTTAGAGGAAAAACTATTAAGCCTCTTACCTCCCCTCCACCACCCACAGAGTGCTTTAGTTTGCCTGGGATGCTTTGTAAGTATGCCCATAAGTGGTAGTGTATATTCCTCTTACTAGGCGAGCTACCAGTACTAGAAGAAACATTTTGGGGACTTGGACAGATCCAAGAGCAACATTCAAGGAAAGACCATTCATGAAGGACCTCATTGCAGATATTGATGTCAAAACATGGGGGAAAGGGAATCACAGCATTCAGCATTGGAAAACAAAATGTGGTTTTATCAAAAGTGGGAACTCAATAAATGTTTCACTGACTTCATAAACAGTATTCATATTCAATGCTATTTTATTGTAAAAGGGCGAGGATATTATATGTGTAAGTAGCTTGGGATACTGTTGCTAAGTATTTAAATACATCAATATACCTATATGAAATTAATAGTTTTATTTCCTTGATTAAAATAAACTAGTGGATTTCCATTGTGTTCAAGATTTTTAAAAATAGTTTTTCCTCAATATAAAATATAAGCCCTTAGTGATCTGTTCCTTGGTACTCTCTGCAAAATCATATACCTTCATACCTGATGGCCCAGAAATACCAAACTAATGGCATTTCTCTTATTGAGTGTTTACAACCTAAATTGCATATCATATGATTGGTTACTCAATTATGTAGCAATTTAAATACTACATTTTAAAATTAATTTTTTTTAATTTAAAAGACATACATGCTCATTGTTAAAGATTCAGATGATAAAAAAGTAGATGGAGAATAGCAACACTGGTCCTTTTCCTAATGATAATCACTGTTTATAAGTTTCTCTCAGAAAAATTATTTGTTACAAATCTAAAACTTTATAGTCCCCCAAACTTTTGTTTTTCTATTGACACCATTGTTTTTATAACAGGTGTTTGAAAATATAAGATTTTTGTCATGAGTACTGTTGGGGAGTTACAGCAGAAAAAATTATATTTTTGATTTCCCAAACATACCTCTCTCTCTTTTTGTCTTTTCATATGTTGCTTCATGTGCCTACAAAGCTAACCAGAACTTTCCTCCTCCCTGCTCCATGGCAACCTCTGATAATTTATATTTGTCTTTCAAGCCTCAGGTTAGACATAATTTCTTTTAAAAAGTCATTCCTGATTCTTTGTTACTGATATTTGGCTTAACTCTACAGTATGTTTTAATGTAGAATAAAAAAAAATTACTCCTAACTCAGTGTGCTCCTTTAGCTTTAACAACTCCTGTCTTTGTGTTTATGTGTATCCTGTGTGCATGTGCATGTGTGAGAGATGCAGGCTGACTTTCAGTTACTTACAGGAGGCTTTTCCTTCTACCCAGGGCCTCCAGCAGAGAGAAGTCTGCTTTCAGTCTACGACTGGAATTTTTCTAGGATTCTTTTCATGGAATAGCCAGTCCTTCCAGAGCTATGACTCTGTGTAAGAGACCTAGACCCATCTCCCTTCCTCTCCTCCCAGTGGCCAGTTTCCTATCCCTGCCACATCACACTCCTACTCCGAACTTAGAACTTGGGCCAGATGTGACACTCCCTTAGACCACCTGAGCTCCAGCTTACTCTTTTTATCCTGAGTTTGGTTAGGTTTTGGTGTCAGCCCCCTGGGATTTTAGTTTCTTCCTCCTGAGGTGCAGTTTGGGATTTTGGTTTGGCGGGGGGTAGGTGTTATTTTCTTAGGGCTGCTATAACAAATTACACAGGCTGTGTGACTTAAAATAACAGAAATTGATTGTCTCATAGTTCTGGAGGGCAGAAGTTCAAAATCAAGGTGTTGGCTGGGTTGGTTTCTTCTCGTGGCTCTGAGGAAGAATCTGTTCCTTTCTCTGAGCTTCTGGAGGTTGCCAGCGGTGTTCCTTGACTTTGCAGGTGCATCACTCCAATCTCTGGCTCCGACGTCACATAGTGTTATTCCCTCTGTCTGTGTCTGTTAAAAACATTTTCATTTCTTCCATGATTGTGGAGTATGAGATCTGGTTTCTGTTCAAATGTATAAATTTAAATTGTAGCATGGTCTATGTAAGTATAAACCCAGACCTGCTGATTTATTATTTTCACATTTTCTGAAAATTTACAGCCCTTCAAAAGATAGTACTTTGTGTTTAAGCTATTTAGAAATGTTTATACATTTTTCAAAAATAAAATTTAATTCTGAGTTTTTAATTTTCAGCCAGAAAACCTTGCTCAGAAGCTTCCAAACCTTGTGGAACTGTGAGTCTGCTTATTCAAATTTTTTTAAAAGACAAGAATGAACATAATTTTAAGTTATTTGAAATAATGGGAAATACAATTTTAATGTATTAATTTATTATTTTTTGGTATTATGATCATGGTGCTCATGTAGGTAGACCTGTGGCTCTGCTAAACCCAATAGTATTTTAAAGTATTTTACCATTTAAATTTGTGTTTTAAATATCTTACTTCAGGGTAGTGAAGGTGATGAAAGATACATTTTTTCTGGGGGCAGCATCTTTGTCACAGAATCCTTCTGGATAGTCCATGTAATTGGGAATATTTATTATTATTATTGTTACTACTACTACATGTGATACTGATATAAACAGTCTGATGGTATAAAAGATTTAAAATATAGAGTAAAAGCCCCCTTCCTTACATCCTACATCTGTTTTAGTTCTGTTGATGATTTACCTCCATAATACTAATAATGTTTACACCTTTGTTTTTTAGTACATCAACTTCAAGTATCTGTTCACTAAAGAAGATAAGAAATTTCAATATCTTGTATTTCCCTTTCTTTCTACCTGTCTAATTCCGTTGAAGGAGGAATTTGCATCACCTTTCCTTGTTCCTTTTATTATTTGGTATGATTTTCAGAAGGTAAAGTAGGGAAAGCTAACTTTACACCTTCCTCTATAAGCCGGGAGTCTCTGTCGTTTTCTTTTTTATCCATCCTTTTATTTTAAAAAATTTCAAACCAACAAAAAAGTTGAAAGCATAGCACAATGAGCATCCATACAATTGATTCTTGAACAACATGGGGGTTAGAGGTGCCACTCCCTCATAGTTGAAAATCCAAGTATAACTTTATAGTCGGCTCTCCATATCCACAGTTCCACATCTGTGGACTCACCCAACCTCAGATGGTGTAGAACTGTAGTAGGTAGTTGTTGAAAAAAAAAATCAGAGTATAAATGGACTTGTGTAGTTCAGACCCGTGTTGTTCAAGGATCAACTGTTCAGTCTTCACCTAAATTTAACCACTTAACATTTTGCCACATTTCCTTTCTCTTTGCCTTTCCTACCTTCTCTTTACTCTCGCTCTCCCTCCACCTTCCTTCTCTCCCTCTCTCACACACATTATACTTTACCCCTAAATACATTAGTATGTATCTCCTAAGAATAAAGACGTTTTTGCACATAACTGTATTGTTTTTAGGCCTAAGAAAAGTAATATTATTTCAATAATATCATCTAATATATAGTTCGTATTTAAATTATCCCAATTTTCCCCCAAAAATATCTTTTTGAAGTAGATGTCTGGATTTGTCTGATTGTTTCCTCTGGATTAGGTTCAGTTTAAACATCTTTGGTGATGTTCTACCCCATTTGCTTTATCAAGTTTTTGCTTTCATTCTCTTTATACATATTATATGTGTATTTATTTTTTTTCTGAAGCTTTTGAGAAAAAGTTACATACATTGTGGTTCTTTACCCTTAAATACTTCAGTGTGTATTTCCAAGAACAAGGATGCCTTAACATTTTTTTAGGTCTACTTTTCTGTCCTTAATAGGTGCTTTATATTTTTCTTCATATAGATTTTGAACATTTCTAATAGTTTATTCCTAAATATTTATTTTTTTTGCTGTGTAAATGATTTTTCTTATCTGTTATATCTTCTAACTGGCTCTTTTTTGTATATAGGAGCACTATGGGTTTTTGCATGTTAACTTTATATCTTGCTCCTTCCTGAAATCTTTTATTGTTTGAGTTAGTTTTATCATTGATTCTCCAGAGTTTTCCAGGTATACTCTCATGTCTGAAAATACAGATAGTGTTATTTCTTCTTTTCCAAATCTTTAATTATCTCCTCTATTCTGATTGCATTGGCTAGTCCTTCTCCAGAGCAGTGTGAAATTGTACTTGAGGTAGTGGGCATCCTTGTCATCTTTCTGACCTTAGTGGGAATACCTCCAGGTTTTCCCCACTAAGAAAGATGCTGGCTTTACAGTTAACACAATTCTTTTGTGTTCAGTAAATATCCATCTGTGTTAGTAATCTATTGCTGCTTAACAGATTACCCAAAATGTACTTGCTTAAAATGTAGGTGTGCTTAAAAGAATAAACACTTATTCTCTGATATTTTCTGAAGGTCCAGAATCTGGGCTTGGCTTAGCTGGGTGCCTTTGCTTCAATGTCTCTTTCAAGTCTCTAATCAAGATTGTTGCCCAGGGCTGCTGACTTACCTGAAAGCTCAACTGAAGAAAGATCCTCTTCTGTGTTCACTCATGTGGTTGTTGGCAGGATTCAACCAATTTCTTGCAGTTCGTTGGACTGAGGGCCTCAGTTCCTAGCTGGCTGTTGGCCAGAGAACTCCTTTAGTTCCTTGCCACTTAGCCTCTGTTATGTTGCTCACAACATGGCAGCTGATTTCCATCAGAGTGAGCAAGCAGAAGAGCAAGAGAGGGTATGCAAGACAAGAGCCATAGTCTCTTTCTGACCTAATTGTGGAAGTGGCATCCTGTCACTGTTACTATATCTGTCCTTTAGAAGGGAGCCACTAGATCTAATGAACACTCAAGGGGAGGCTATTACACAAGGTCCTGAATGCCAGGTAGCAGAGATCATTGGGGACCATCCTAGGGGCTACTTACCACACTATTAATTCCTATTTTCTCAAGATTTTTTTGTTAGTAATGGGCGTGAAATTTTTTCAAAGGTTTTCTCAGACTTTAAATCTAAAGGAAAAATTCTTGGGGGTTTCAGGCAAAAAGGTGAAACAATCATGAAGATGAAGAAGATTGCACCATAAGACTCCACACTGAATTATCTATACAATGGCTGTTGAATTCTAACTTGACGGTTTTTATGTCTTTGAGCCCTTTAAAAGTATTTGTCTCCTGAGGTTGCTGTCTTTTCTTGAGGTTGCTATCCATTGTTGTTGTTGACATTTTTCTGGGTTTTCATATATTAATTTTAGATTATATTCTGACAAATGAGGACATATGTTTTGGAGACTGGAATCTGTTATATTTCATCAAAGAGTGTTGATGTTTTTATTGGGCTGGCCGGAAAGTTTGTTTGGGTTTTTCCATAACATCTTATGGAAAAACCTGAACGAACTTTCCGGCCAGCCCAATATTTCAGTGATTAATTTACCTGGTTTGACTCAAGCAGTAAACAGCCTCTTGGAAGGCAGCTGAAATCTCAGTCTGGTTCTTTTATCTTTAGTTGTAGTTTCTTCCACATGTAAATGGTTTTGCAGTCAGCCACTGATTTAGGCAAAGTTTATACATAGGATTTGGGGTTTCCCCTCCCTGGCTTTTATTTTTTTTTCTGGTATTCTCCCTTTATTTGTCAGGGGCCATGGTTGCCCTGAACTCTGTCCTCCTTTAGGCTAGCAACACTGCAGTTTTCTATTGGAATTTTAGCCATTTTTTTGTGATAACTGTATCCTTCCTTAGACTAAATGCTTTTTTTTTTTTTAAATGAAACCCAGAATCACCCAGTGCCGTTCTTTCTTATAAGTTTTGACTCTCCTTCAGAATTGGCTTTTTTGTTTACTCTTGCAGTGCCTTAGGTTCATTTTGTCTGTGTGTGTTGTTCAGTGTTTTAGTTGCCAGAGGATTGGTCCAGTAGGAGTTTATTCTGCTGTACTGGAATTAGAACTTGCATTCTTTTATTTTAATCTGTTTCTGCCTTTATAACTCAAGTGGGTTTCTTGAGGTCAACATTAGTTGGTTCTTTGATTTTGACCAGTCTAACAATCTGGCTCATTTAACTGGAGTGTTTAGACTGTTTATGTTTAATATGATTACTGATATGATTGAATTTAAGTTCACCAACTTAATGGTTTGTCTTCTGTTTGTCCCAGTTGTGCTTTGTTATTTTTTCCCTCTTTACTTTTCTTCTTTTAAATTATTTTTGTGTTATTTAGGATTAAGTTTTACTACCATTATTGATTTATTAACTCTACTTCATTTCAATGTTGAAAGGTTTATATTATGTTTCTTTAACCTATTATAATCTACCTTCACATAATATACTACTTCACATTTAATATAAGAACCTTAGATCAATACTTTCAGTTCATTGCTCCTATCCTTTGTGCTACTGTCCTGTGTTTTACATGTGTGTGAGTGTTGTGAGAGAGATAGATCTATGTATGTATAAACCATGTATATATCAGTCAGGGTCCAGTTAGGAGAGAGAAACCATACCCCTATTTAAGCAGGGAGAATTAATATAAAGAATTGTTAACTAGTAAAATGTTATTAACTACCAAAAAAGGTAAAAGAGGACTCCATGGTATTCATATTAATTAGTAAGTACAAAAAAGTAGATCTGGACCAAGAGAAAGTAGACAATGAAGGAACTAAAGACTTAGGAGAGCCCCAAACCTAGGCTGAGATTAGACTTCTTCAAATAAGATGTGGCAGCCACAAAACATACAGTGCTCTGGTTGTGAAGAACCTTGCCATCTGGTTAGGCCAGAGCAGATCTGTAATATCAGCTCACTGTTGCAGGACGGTGTTGGTAATGTAGAGCTGATCTATTAGAAACAGTCTGACTGGTAGGAAGGAGGCAATTGCCTGAGAGCATGGCAGAGCTAACGCAGAAGTAGCCACAGGGTGGGAAGACAGTTGCTTGAGGCCAGCTGAAGTTCTTTATAGGAGTGCATTGTTGGATGGGGAGAGTGTGGCCTGAGGATAATAGCCTGAGATGCCACAAAAGTGACTTCATGGTCACTTTGAGAATGTAGTTTAAGGTTGTCCAAGAGGACTACTGGGCCTTGGCTGTGTGCTGAATAAAAAATTGAAAGGGGACTGGATCCAGAAGGGAAACGCCTTCCTGCTACTCTCATCTTGCAGAGTCACTCCAGTACCCTCTTTTGATAACATTAGGCCTAACATTAGATCAGTTGGCAAAGGAGAAATTTTGACAGGGTCCAGCTCCAATATGGCATAGCAGATAGATTTGGAGCTGAGAGACAAAATTGATAACTGGCAAAATACACTATTATAATTTTGAA